TGTCTCCAGAAAGCAGGGGGGGGGGGGGGGTTCTTAACCCTCGCTGCAGGGCTACCCTCACACTGCAACGGTTAAATGCTTGTTTTGGTCTAGGTGCAAATATTTAAAAAAGTTATACTCACCTGAACTTTGCAGCCGGCTGGCTGTTAGAGCGCTCCCTCCAGCCAGTCTCCTCCACTGCAGGGATGGTATGTCCCTCGCATCCTTGGTTCTCAACTGGTGGGTCGCAAACCCTTACTGCATAGAGCTAGCTCTTCTGCCCAACATATAGGGGTATAGGTACTCTTAAAAACAAGGTCACACAGGGACTTGTACACACACGCAGAATCACATACATACACGCAATAGGTTGCACTTGATGGACCTGTGTCTTTATTCAACCTCAAATACTATGCAACTATGTAATTCAGCAGAGGGGCAGTGTGCAGAAGATTCCTATGTATTGTGAAATAGGCCCCTCCTCCCCAGGGCCCCCGCTGAAGTGATAGGGCCCAGCTAGAGAGGGTACTATTTCACCACTTTTGGCCCACTAAGTAAAATTGGAACCCGCTAATTAGTGCGGCAGATATCTAGTGCAGCAGATATCAATCTACCCCAGCATGGTGGATATTAAATAGTGAGTACACCATGCCCAGATTCCATGGAGGCTGAGAGGTAGGCTGTGGAGCTCTATTATAAGTTGTTGCTCACCTGTTCAGCTTTCAAATCCGACTCCTTCTAACTAGGCATGTATTCCAGGGCAAGACTGATATGCCAGATAAAAACTAGAATAGGAAGGTGTCACTACTGTTAACCTGCCAGATGAAAGATAGAATAGGATGCAACACTACTGTTAGCTTGCCAGATAAAATACATAAAAATGTTGCTACACTGTTGAATGTCTACCACAGATTAAACCGCTGGCTCTCAACTAATGAAGCTTGCTTGTGTAGTGCCCCCTCCCAGCACCATCACCCACCGTGGTTTTCAGGGACCCCAGCAAATCCATTCAGGATGGAGATCGGGACCAGACTGAGGAGCGTCCATCCCTGATATGCTCTGTGTGATCAGTGACCACTGTTCTTACAGTGCTTCCTGTCTCAGATGTCACAAACTGGGCTACCCAGGTAATCACGCACAATGCTATGCTTGATCATCTGTGTTGGAGTGCAGCGGAGACATCAGCTGTCTCCATAAAGAGAACCTGTCACCTTCATATGCTATCACATAGGAGCTTGGTAGCCCCTGTGTGACAGCAATAAAGTTAAGTGGAAAAAAATAAAAGTAGGGATGTTCAGATACCAGTGCTGATACTTGGCATTTTCATGAGAACTACCATTCGCAGCTGGAACCTGGCTCTGGCACTCCACCACTGTCCTGAAATCATTAGTCTGTATTGTTTTAGAAAAAAACTGTCACATGACAATAAACAAATGTATCAGTACTTGTATCTATGAGTACTTGGACAAGTATCAATACTTGAAAAAAATGGTATTGGTGCATCCCATTATATATATATATATATATAAACAAACAATCATACATTAAAACAGGGATGCACAAATCCCAGGAGCTCCATATGCTCCTTAAAAATGACAGCTGCCTCCTAACTAATTGTTCTCTAGTCTAGTCTTGGAGCGGGGAAAGTATCTGTACATGTCCTTGTAGCAAGTATTATACTTGGTATCTGAACATCCCTAATTAAAAGTGATAAATACAAAACCAAACAAAAAAAATTAAAACCAACCCCGCTACATGCAAACGCACACATGTACGATGGGCACACGTGAACAAACAATTGCACAGACATGTTCGGTATCACTGCAAACCAAAAACTATTTTTGGGTCGTGACATAATGACCAAGGACAAATGTGGGTCCTGAGGTTACTCAGGTTGAGAACCACTGCTATACATGTATAGGACGTGAGGACTTGCAGGACCAGTCTAAAAAAGGAGTAGAACTGTTTTTTTTTGCACCTAGACCAAAACAAGCACTTAACCCTAGCAGTGTGAGGTTGCCCCACTGCAAGGGTTCATAAAGTGTTTGCCCCAGAGTTCTCTTTTAAAACAATTTAGCAGTGTAGGGCAGATGTCACAACATGCATTTAAAGACATGCCACATTCACATAGTAATTTAGAAGAAATGGCCAGTGTTGTAGCACATGATCAATATTGAACCAACTATATCTTATCATAACAGATGTTTTAGACCGACACTGGCAGGATCTTCTTACAACATTTGGGAACCCTGGTAGAGATCTCCCGTCATCCTACCTCTGCCCTCTAAAAGCTTTGCCATTTATTGCCAAGCCTTATATAGAACAGGGTGGTCATGTACCTCTTTGCTGGAATACCCATAGCAATAAATAGAAAATCCAACAGAAGATATGTGACCACACTATATAAAAAGTTGACCTTGAGTAGCATGTGGTATTTTGGAAGCGAATTCCCTGCTAGGGTTCAAAAATGTTACTGGAAGACTGTAGGTAGCTGAACTTGCAGGTTTCCTCAAAAACTGTAATAGTACTCCAACAACCATGCTTTTTTAATTACCAACATATTAGTCATCAGATTCAGGATTCACTGGAAACATCAGATCCACATTTCTGAAGGTCTATAAATGCTTGTGTTATAGCCTCCTGATGATTGATTATCCAGGTAATTGCAGCAGCAATCCCATTCTGTGCTTTTTGATCACTCCTGAGCTCCATGCCAGCACAGATAGGATTACAGCTTCAATTCCCCAGGGACTTTCCTCCAGTATATTGGGTCCAACTTGATACACAAAGATTTTAAAACAATAAAGCCAGCATAGCATAACTTTAAATTGACATCACCGGATGCACACCTGATTAAGTCAAATCGATGAAACATGCCAAGGGTGCTGGAACTGGAGTTTGTTTTTATTGTGTTTTACGTTATGCTGGATTTATTTTTGCTATAAACTCCATGTGTATCAAGTCCCAACCAGATACTGGAGGAAAGACCAAGGTGAACTGAAGCTGAAATCCTGTCTGTATCTGTGCTGATGTAGCGCTAGGGAGAGACCAAAGAGCTAGAAGGAGGAAGAAAAGCATGTGGCGGTTGCTACTGGCGATTACCTGGAGGACCAATGATTGGGAGGCAGTAACATTTATAGACCTTCTGAATTCCGGTCTGGCATTTGCAGCGAGCTCCGAATCTGAAGGGTATACAATTTTAATTGAAAGTGTGACTATGGGAGTACTATTGCTGGTAACCCAGGAGTGGATGAATGAGCAATATATGTGAGAACAGAGTTGATATTTGTGAACTGATCCTCAAAAATGGTTATAAATTTTAGGATGATTTTAAAATGAACACAACGTACACAATCCTAAAGATAATTTTTAGAGTGTATGGGTGGAAAAAAAAAAGGCAATAATGGAAAGCATTTGCAATCATAATTAGAAAATATGCAGCCTATACAGAACTAACCTGTAAATCAATAGCTTACTGAACACAGATAAACCAAGGTAAAAAACGTATTTAAAACAATGTATGGGGATGAAAACTCTAGGGTGATTTATACAGTTTACATTTACCCCACAATGATACAACCAGCATATAAGTATGAGCATAAATGTGTTTAAACTGACAATATTAAAAGCCTATTAAGAGTAACCTTGGAGGAGATTTAATATTGGTAAAGGACAGCACTAAAACAAAAATTAACCCAGTGAAAAGTGCCTTTTACTGATCCATTGTTAACTATTAGTAGCAGAACCATAGCACCTCTGGACATCTCACCATAGTAGTATCAAAGAAAAACTGCAGTATATTTGTAGTAACTAGGTGCCTGAAAAAAAATGGAACTGACGACTGACCTGCACAGCTGAGTTAGGCAAATCCAAAATTGCAATATTGTTGAAGCGAAATACTCAGACCAGTTGGGGATTTATAGTTAAAAAAAAATAAAAAAAATAAAAGCCATACTATCCAACAATTTACGTTTTCCCTTTTAAATACAAGTAAGGTCACTTTGCACTGAATGAACTGATGTTCACGTTATGATAATCTTTCCAAATATTACACAAGCCAGACGTCCTGGGCTGGGTGTATAGTTTAAAGAAAACCACAATTACAATAGCAGGAGCTTGCTTAACAGCAATTATTTAATTGAAGGGTCTTTAACAGTGAAAAGGGAAGATGGGCCTCATGTTTCCTTTTAAACAGTATGTTGAGGATTAAAAGTGGCTTCAAAGCAGCATGGTGGTAGAGTCTTCTGCAGATTTACATAAGTCGGTTGCGTTTGTGAGTTGGCGAGTCTGTAATGACGTCGCCGCATTGGGCTGAGGTACGTTTGCGGTTGCCACTATCTAAGTGGAGTGCCATTTCCTCTGATATGAAAGTGTTCAAATCAACATCAAGGAGTCCATTTCTCCTTCGGCTACTGGTAGAACTGCCGCTAACATGAGTTGGAGAGCCTGGAGTACTGGAGCGGACACTAATACTAGCCATTGCACCACTCAGTCCTGCAAATAAAGAAAAATACATTAAATGCAATATATGCCAGACAATTCTAATACCGATTTTAAACTTTTGCATTTGCCTTTTATCATTTTACTTACTGCTGACCTCCCGAAAATACTAGCTTCCCAGCTGTCTGGTTTTAACACTTTTAAGCCACAGACACAGACTTAAGTACCGTATGTCGGAAGTAAGAGTCAAAGAATTCCTCATCATTATATATTCCATGTTGGTGAATCAGAATACATTGAAGCCGAACCACGAGCATGACAGCCAGGGAAGATACATTCTAAGAAGAGGTCAGCAATGGTGGCCTACATAGTTCTATTGCGACAGAAGTACCTAAAGTCTAAGTGAATTAAAAAACTAAGGAGGGAATTTATCAAAACCTGAGCAGACAGAATCTGCAGCAGATGCTGATACTAACCAATCAGCTTCTCTCTTCAGTTGTTCAGTTAAGCTTTAAAAATAAAAGATGGAAACTCATTGTTGCGATGCACAGCTGCTCCAGATTTGGATAAACTCCTCTCAAGGGGATGTTTTAAAAAGGAGAACTATGAGGTGAGTGCTTTTCACTCACCTCATAGTTCTAGCCGACCTGTGACAATGAGACTGTCACAGGTCGGCTCAGTAGATCGGGAGATGAGCGGACACATACCGGCGTTCGCTCACCTCTCGATCCTGTCACGGCAAGGAGCCGTAACAGGGGAGGGGCTGGATTTCCCCCTCCCTGATCCGCCAGCGCTGACTGGCGGAACGGAAGGGGGAGGGTACAGCTGGCTCTGCCTCTAGATAGGCCGAGCCAGCTGTCAGTCACGCAGCTGGGCGGATCACGGCACAATTGTCGGGATCCGCTTCAGCGTCTCAGTATACCGTGAGCAGTAGCTTGAAGTATACTGCGGCGTCCGTGTGTATGTATATATATGTGTGTGTGTGTGTGTATATATGTGTGTATATATGTGTGTGTGTATATGTGTGTGTGTATATGTGTGTGTGTGTATATGTGTGTGTGTATATGTGTGTGTGTATATGTGTGTGTGTATATGTGTGTGTGTATATGTGTGTGTGTATATGTGTGTGTGTGTGTATATGTGTATATGTATGTATGTATGTATGTACATACGTACATACACACCCATACTCAGTATATAGCGATCTGGCGACAGGTAAGTCGCCAGGATCGCTTCTGTTGTAAAGCCGACAGTCGGCTCTACAAGTTTAAACAGAGTTTCGGCGGCAAAAGTCGCCGGGAGTCTGTTTAAACAGCCCCGATGCTGGCGACGTACACTGTACGTCGTCAGTCACGAAGGGGTTAAATGCCTTCATAAGGAAAATGGTCTCAAAAGCTTCTCAAAACTGGGAACCTCCTGGATGACAGTTGAATAGTCCCGAGGCACTCAGCTGACCCGAGGAAGTGAAAATGTGAAACATCTTTGTAACACTTTAACTAGTGCTGAGAAGCTCATTTTAGGTTGTGCGTAAAGCCGGCCATACACCTTAGGCTGGGCACACACCTTACAACCATCGTAAGACTTTTGTCTTGCGAGGGTTGTAAGGTAATTTAAAAAAACGTACGAACTGCCCATCTTGGACAGGCAGATCGTACTTGCGATGATCGCGGGGCGGGCTTCCGATGACCGCAATGCTGAACGGGCAGTGTGCGCTTACGCACATCGGCCCGTCCGGCTTTTATCTTACGAACATGCTACACACCCGTCGAACATCATACGATTCTCGGCGGGTTTTCGAACATGTTCCTAAGATAAAAGCAGAGGGCGCACGGCTCCCACACACCTTGCGATAATCGTACGATCGCGGGATTTCCCGCGATCGTAAGGTGTGTGGCCACCTTAACAATTATCTGCAGATTTTCTATGGTCAGATGGAAAAGATGCAACAGATTCCTCCATCTACACTTACCTGTGTGGATGGAGTAATCTCCACCTGGGCCAATCTGTTGCACTTTGTCCATCTGACCACAGAAAGTCTGCAGATAATTGTAAGGTGTATGGGCAGCTTTAGTTTGGAGGTCTTTTACAGTCACAAATAGCACACAGTTAAAATATTATGCGAATTGTCAGAAAACATGTGCAATGAGTCGCAAACATGAATATGTCCGCATGAACACACACACCAAAAAAGTGGGTGCAGAACAGAAATAAAACTCTGCGGTTAATTTACATATTTGTTTTGTCGGAAATAGGTGCAGAAATTTGTCGGAAATAGGTGCATAAAGTGTGTTTTTTGCCGTTTAAACTCTGCATAGCAGTTAAGTTATAGAAAGATTATAGGAAGACACATACTTGTGGACATACATTTCATCTTACATCTGGCGATTTGCGTGTGTGTGCGCATGCGTGTGCTGTCCACTTTACAATACTGTTGGTGTTATAAGGATATGAAGTTTAAGGCAGCACTTACCATGGAGAGCTATTGCTTCTCGGAAGGGCTGCAAATCAGTCTCTACAGATGAGCCAGTTTCAGATGGTGTAGCTCGGTTGGGTGAAACAACAGTCAGTCTCGGTGGTGCACGAGAATTACGTGGAGGCGGAATTTTGCCACACAGAAAGCTGATCAAATCCTCCCGACGGATAGTTCGTCGGCGTTTCTTAACCCAGGCTAAAACTTCTTTATTGCGTCGCTGGCATCCAGTCTGGATTCCTAAGTCCAAGGTCCTCTGATGGGCATCCACACTTTCTGTAATGTAAATGCAAATTCATTTAGTAGCACGTGATAAACATAAACACACACACAGAAAACACGTTAAGGGCTCATTCTCAATAGCCCAAGCGCTAAACTGCAAAGTTTTAGGCCGTGGGCTGGTGTGGTCCGGGGGAAGATTCACACATCACACTATTTACTTTTTTTTCCCAGTTTTTTTTGGGAGTGTACAAAGTGTGCAACCCATTCAGGTCTCAGCACAGCACCGTGGGGTGATACATAGTTACATAGTATTTGGGGTTGGATAAAGACATACGTCCATCAAGTCCAACCCATATAGGTCCACGCATCATCTCATTCTTAGGGATACTGGTATCCCTGGATATTACGGTCCCTCAAGAAATTGTCCAAACGTTTCTTGAACAAATCTACACTCTTGGCTGAAATCACTGCCGATACAGTGTGCTGCAAACAAATGTAGCATGTCTGCATTTTTTTTTTTTGCACCACACATGACACCATCGTTGTGGAGTGAACAGGGCACATAAACAATTGTTTTCTATTTGCCCTAGCAGTGACTGGCATTGTTCAGTTGCTGAAAAACACCAGTCACCACTTATGATGTGAACAAGCCCCTAGGCTGTACAATTCTTAAGAAACAAATGCGCTCAATATTAAAAGATAATCAATTGATCATCATTCACGAATGTTCACACCTGCACACAAAAGTGACATTTTCTGCTAATAGAACTGGGACACGGCATGTGCCAGGTTAGGCTGGGTTCACACCTAGGCGCAACGAATATGCGCGTTTACCGCGCGTTTCGTGGTAAAAAAACAGTGCGACAAACGCGCGTTTCCGAGGGCTATCCGGCTGTATCTTAATGGATACGCCCCAAAGAAGCTCCTGTACTTCTTTGGGCGTAGGGTGTTTTGCAGCGCGTTCCTACGCGCTGTAAAACGCCCAGGTTGGAACAATGCCCATAGGCAATCATTGGTTTGCACATGTTGAGCGTTTTACAGCGCGTAGGAACGCGCTGTAAAACATCCAGGTGTGAACCAGGCCTTAGGGATTTGTTAGCCCTTTCCCTGAGGTTTGTTTGCCAATTTAAGGATGTCTTCTGTGCTGGAATGGCACCTGATGCATAAACAAGCTGCAAGATTGGCATTTCAGATATCCAACTATTTGGGATCCCAAAAAAAAAAAGGGAGGTTTCAAATAGTGTTTTGTTTGTTTTTTTAAGGCCAATTAACCCCTTCGTGACTGACTGTCGCACGCAATCTGTAAAATGGGCATGTTGGGTATCGTTTTACTCGTTGTAACCTCATCTTTTATATTTCATTAAAAAAAATGGGTAATTTGTTGTGTTTTGGGGCATTTAATTAAATTTGTCACTAAATTTTGGGGTTTAATAAGGAGTTGTGCTAATATTGCGCAACATAAAAAATTTTAACTACCACCATTTTATTCTATAGGGTCTTGGCATTCAGAAAATATATAATGTTGGGGGGTTTTACGTCATTTTCAGGCCTCAAATGTGGAATATAACATGGGTGCAAAAATGGAAAAAAGGGCCTCAGTCATGAAGGGGTTAAAAGATAAAATAAAAAGCAAGCCTTTGTTGTAACATTCAGCTTTAACGCAGATAATTTCCTGCAGTACTTCTTCTGGTCTGGGGGGTCAGCATCATTCAACCCACTTCCTCTGAGCCCCACGCCAGCCTGTTACTGGACAGAGACAGGAGAATCAGCATAGTCACAAGCTCATCTCTCTGGTTTTGCTTCATATTAGATCATCTCCAGGCCCTTAGCTTCTCCTGGAAGGCTGGGATCACAGTAAACAGCATCAGGATGGTAGGAGAACATTGTGAAACTCAATTTCCTGATGTCCTCTGCAGAGTGTGAACCTTAAAGCACTCAGCTCTGAGCACTTCTGGGTTCAGAACTGTCCCAAATCCCAGCTGCAAATCCAGGTAAACAGTAGATCAAAACACATTCTGTACTTAAATAGGTTGAAGCAGAGAAGAAATTACAGGGCCTAATAGACCCCTGATACTCCATAAAGAGTACCTGTCACCTGCCCAATGTGATCACATTGGGCAGGTGACAGGCTTGTTAGAGGTTACAACAATTGTGTCACTTTGGGCACACACATATGGATGCAAGCATG